GTAGTCACTTTTACAGTGTGGCCATATCATTGTAACTGCCCCCCCCCCCTCCCAATAAACTCTGATTAGGAAGAGGTGGGGTGAGGTCTGCCAAGGGTCTATCGCAGGTCCTCTCGAGAGCCGGAGCCTGGCCGGTCGGAAGTCTGCCGTAGTTTGCCTCGCGGCGCCCGAGCAGAGGCAACGCCGCAGACTCTGTGCAGACCACCAGACCAGCACTGTTGCCGTACAACTCTCCGTTTCTTACCGCCGGGGGCTAGGCTCAGGCTTGGGGGACTGAGCTAAGCTGGGCAGAGCTTGGGGATCGTCAAGCAGAGCTCAGTCGTGGTCATGCCGGACGGAAACTGTAAATCGACCCACGGCACGGCGGTCGTGAAATTATTTGTCGTTTACGACCTTTGGGGGCCATGTTGCAAGCAAAAAAAAAAAAAAAAAAAAAACATGCAAGAAAGCCCACATCTTTTGATCTCGTAATATTTTCTTGCGACATTTCGCACGGATTGGGCGCTGCGCAGCACATGCCTTTAGAGGGGCAGGGTGGGACGGTGGCCCTCTAACGGGGGGCCACCTGGCCTACCTAGCACCCTAACACGCGACGCACCGGGCGGCGGAGCCACGCCAAATAATGGGGTCTGGACAGCTTCAAGTGACAGCCCTCATGCACAAGCCAGGCAGGCCCGGCCCGCGGCCATAGGGCCGCCAGGGCCAGCGCAGAGGGTGGGAGGGGAGGGTCTCCCCGGAGGGTCCGCGCGGGGAGCTTCCTGCTGTCGCCCCCGCCCTCCGGGGGGGGTCTCTGGCTCCCCTCTGCGCCACACTGCTGCCGCTAGCCAGGTCAAGTTCCAAAAGGCCAAAACGAATGCAAAAAAAAGTGCGAGGTTGTCTACATGAGCAGCAGCAGCAGCAGCGGCGAGAACAGCAGCGTGCTGACGAGGACGTGGCGGGGGCAGGCCATTAGCTGTACGTGCTCTTCGTGTTGCTTTCGGAGTATCGTCCCAAGTGTCCATACTTCTCACATCATCCCCCAATAGCGCAGCTGTTTACAGAAAGGCCCCAATCACCCACTAACACCCCCTGCCCTTGCTGGCCCCCCGCCCCCGCTGCCCCCGCTGCCCCGGCTGCTGCCCCCGCTGCCCCCGATCCATCACGCGCCCCGACAGTCCGCGCCGCCGCCGCCGTCCTCAAAGGCGACAGGAGTGGTTTGCACTCGCCCCCCCCCCCCCCCTCCCTTCCCGAGCGGCTGGCTCCGTGGCTGGTAAGGGATGGCCAAGCTGTGCAGAGCTGGCGCGGCGGCGAGCGGAGCGCCTGGCAGGTAGGCAGCGCGGGTCTGTGCAGCGCGCCCCTGTGCGCGCGCGGCCTACCTCCCAGGCTGACGGCTCGCGCGGCCCGGGGCCCGGCCGCCAAGGCCCGGGGGCCATTTACATAACACCGAGTCATACCGAGACGGACACTCGCGATGATCGTCACTTCAGTCGACTTCACGACACGCGATCGAGTTACTGTTCCTGAGCGCCATCACGGTAGGCTTGATCGTATCCCTTGCCCCCTGCACTTGCTCCTTCTCAAACGCCGTAGGTACAGAAGAAATGGGAGGGAAACGGGAAATCCCTGAAGGAAATTTCACCTGGCCGCACCTGGCTTACTCTCGAGGCTGGTCCCTAGGCGGCTAGGCTAGACATTTTACGGTGGTCGCGATGACG